GTACATGCATACATGGTTGGTTTCCTGCGCTGTACTTTGACCATACTGGCGATCTGTACCTTGAAGCGCTCTTTGAAAATCGGTAACGCCAAAAGGCTACTGCAGCACACAGCAGAGACAGAAGGGGCAGATGTTTTGAATAGCTTTGCGCTGTCGAAAATACCGCATAAAATTCATCTCAGACGTAGTACTGTTTCAAGGGAATGAATAAACGAGTGCAGATTTTTGAGCAGCATTATTATGAAAAACTTTTGAGGTTCTTAGCATCCAAACACATTATTTCCTCATGATTTCCTAAACCTCATTCATGCGTTACTTTCAAATCATACGCTACTCTTTTCCGTGCGCCGTCACTCCCCGTTCACAATGTTCACTCCTTCCTTGAGAATCATTACAAACTGAAGCCCCGTCTTTTCATGCACAGTTAACAGCAAGTGATAGTCCAAGAACTTAATGGTATATCATGTCTGTTTTTTATGATTTTATTTTCTTCGTTGCTTAAATGCTTACGAGCATATGGTGGTCTGATTGACGTTGCGGCCGCTATTAATGGCGGTGTTGTGAGGATGCGAAGTGTGCACTTACACAGAACCATCGTGCTTCAATTTGGCCATTTTGCGACATTCGGGTAAAGATGAAAACGAAAGGTAAGACGAAGGACATCGAAAAAAGGATCAATGGTCTCTATTCCAGTACTGAGCCTTACAAGATCCATAGCTCGATACTTACCTCAGAAAGCACTATGCGCCGTTGTTTGAGGTCACTGACGGTGACAGATGTAAACTGAGCCTGTCACTCGTTACTTTGGGGTGTGCGAATGTTATACATTGCCAAAATCTTCGAAAGTTTTCTCTGCATATAAGTTTTATGAAAGCAGTGAACATAGTGTCAAAATTTCCGCTCTGCTACGCATTCATCTATTTCAGAAAAGATTTCGATTCCATCGGGCTGAACGCTATACCAAACGCGTAGCACGACGGCAATGTCAACCATGTGTGCATAGGCCTGATCGAGGAACTGAATACCGTCACCGACCTCAAGCTGTTTGAGGAACAGTCATCAGCGTCAAAAGAAGAGCACACAATCAGACACCACCTCTCCTGGCCTTTCGTTGGAATCCATCCTTGACCGTCGGCAGGATTAACATCGACGGACATCGGTTCACCGATCCGCTCGTTGCAGACGACGTCATCACGTTGCCGACGATTCGACGGAACTCCAAGCAAAGATTGTGCGGTTGCAGAAGGAGTCGTGCGCCATCGGTCTGGAGATGAACATCTCTGAGATGAAATGGATGCCGAAAGAGCAGAGCATGATCTTTTGCCTGACGTCATCGCTGACAGCTAAGATGAGCAAAAAGTCGCTAGCTATACATGCGTTGGCTACATGAGAGACTCCAGTAACAACATCAACGACAGAATCAGCAGCTGAACGAAGACAGCATGGGCAAGGTTCAATCACCATAATACCCGTCGTCACCCCACCGTGAACGGTGCCGTGACGCGAATGCTGATCTAACACCACGGCTGAGGAAAAGAAACTAGTTGCATGGCAAAGGATGATGGAAAGGAGAACATGTGACCACATTCCGAGAGCGGTAGTTCG